CGCCCCCTGTCCCGGACGCCCCGCCCCCTGTCCCGGACGCCCCGCCCCCTCCGTCACCGAGGCGCAGCGTTTCAGTTCGTTGCCGCGGCGACCGGCCGTAAACATCCGCTTCATCGACGTGAGCTACTCTGTCCCCGAGGGCCCCTGGTGGAGGAGACGAGGTACTGCACACACTCCTCACAGAACACACTGTCCCACTTTGTGATGTCATCATGTGGTGATACAGGAAGTGCTCCACTGTGTTTTTAAACTCCACTAGAATCATTTGGATCATCTGAGCGGTTCACTCGATGACATCAGCAGGTGGAGCAGAGCATGTGGAGGCACAGACCCGGAGCGTCCGCGCTCTGTCCTTTAGCTCTGGCCATGTTTGTTTGTAGTTCTTTGTAAATGTGGCCATTTTGTTTGTAGTTTGAGTCAGAGGAGCAGAGCTGAGAGCTGATTGGCCGAAAGAGACTCAGGTCACTACAGGTCACTACAGGTCACTACACCACAGTAACTCAGACCTGGTTCAGTCCTGGTCTAGTCCTGGTTCAGTCCTGGTTCAGTCCTGGTTTAGTCCTGGTTCAGTCCTGGTTTAGTCCTGGTTCAGTCCTGGTTTAGTCCTGGTTCAGTCCTGGTCTAGTCCTGGTTCAGTCCTGGTTCAGTCCTGGTCTAGTCCTGGTTCAGTCCTGGTTCAGTCCTGGTTTAGTCCTGGTTCAGTCCTGGTTTAGTCCTGGTTCAGTCCTGGTTCAGTCCTAGTTTAGTCCTGGTCTAGTTTCAGTCTAGTATCAGAAAGTCTCAGGTTTCCTCAGACAAAGACCGGGACAAATGGGACTTTCTGAGACCGAGGGAGGATCGAAACTGAACTAATGACGGGTTTAGAGGAACCTGAGAAGAACCAGGCCACATCCTCTAAAGGACTAAACCAGAACTGAACCAGGACTGAACCAGGACTAAACCAGAAATGAACCAAGACTGAACCAGGACTAAACCAGGACTGAACCTGGTCTGGTCCAGGACCTGGTCACTGTGGGTCAGTGACATTAATCTGTGACTCTTTTAGACGAGCTGAAGTTTGACCCAGATCAGAACCAGACCAGTCCCTGTGTGTCAGGTGCCCTCCTGTGTGTCAGGTGCGCCCCTGACACACTGTCTCTCTGTGTGTGTCAGGGGCGCCCCTGACACACTGTCTCTCTGTGTGTGTCAGGTGCGCCCCTGACACACTGTCTCTCTGTGTGTGTCAGGGTCTAAGTTCCTCCTGCGGGGGGTGTCGGGGACGTTTCACAGTGGGGACCTCGTGGCCATAATGGGGCCCTCAGGAGCCGGAAAGTCCACGCTCATGAACGTCCTGACGGGCTACAGGTCGGACCTCACACCGGACCTCACAACTCACACACCGGACCTCACACACCGGACCTCGCAACTCACACACCGGACCTCACAACTCACATACCGGACCTCACAACTCACATACCGGACCTCACAACTCACACACCGGACCTCACAACTCACACACCGGACCTCACAACTCACACACCGGACCTCACACACTGGACCTCACACACCGGACCTCACACAGGACCTCACACACTGGACCTCACACACCGGACCTCACACACTGGACCTCACACACCGGACCTCAGACCGGACCTCAGACCTCAGACCGGACCTCACACACCGGACCTCACAACTCAGTCCGGGATACAGTGTGTTTTATTGTGAAAGGATGGTGTGTGTTTTATTGTGAAAGGATGGTGTGTTTTATTGTGAAAGGATGTTGTGTGTTTTATTGTGAAAGGATGGTGTGTTTTATTGTGAAAGGACGGTGTGTTTTATTGTGAAAGGATGGTGTGTGTTTTATTGTGAAAGGATGGTGTGTTTTATTGTGAAAGGACGGTGTGTTTTATTGTGAAAGGATGGTGTGTGTTTTATTGTGAAAGGATGGTGTGTTTTATTGTGAAAGGACGGTGTGTTTTATTGTGAAAAGATGATGTGTGTTTTGTTGTGAAAGGACGGTGTGTTTTATTGTGAAAGGACGGTGTGTTTTATTGTGAAAGGATGGTGTGTTTTATTGTGAAAGGATGATGTGTGTTTTATTGTGAAAGGATGGTGTGTGTTTTATTGTGAAAGGACGGTGTGTTTTATTGTGAAAGGATGATGTGTGTTTTATTGTGAAAGGATGATGTGTTTTATTGTGAAAGGACGGTGTGTTTTATTGTGAAAAGATGATGTGTGTTTTGTTGTGAAAGGACGGTGTGTTTTATTGTGAAAGGATGGTGTGTTTTATTGTGAAAAGATGATGTGTGTTTTATTGTGAATGATGATGTGTGTTTTATTGTGAAAGGATGGTGTGTGTTTTATTGTGAAAGGACGGTGTGTTTTATTGTGAAAGGACGGTGTGTTTTATTGTGAAAGGATGGTGTGTTTTATTGTGAAAGGATGATGTGTGTTTTATTGTGAAAGGATGGTGTGTGTTTTATTGTGAAAGGACGGTGTGTTTTATTGTGAAAGGATGGTGTGTGTTTTATTGTGAAAGGATGGTGTGTTTTATTGTGAAAGGACGGTGTGTTTTATTGTGAAAGGATGGTGACCGGTGCCGTTGTGTTGCCAGGGAGACGGGCATGTCCGGACACATCCTGATAAACGGGCGCCCTCGTGCCCTCAGGTCCTTCAGGAAGGTGTCGTGTTACATCATGCAGGAGGACATGCTCCTGCCGCACCTGTCGGTCACCGAGGCCCTGGAGGCGTCAGCCGACCTCAAACTGCACGAGCGCAGGGCAGAGCGCGGCGCCATGGTGAGGGCGGGTACACCAGGACACACAGAGGACACACAGAGGACACACAGAGGACACACAGAGGACACACAGAGGACACACAGAGGACACACACCAGGGCACACAGAGGACACACAGAGGACACACAGAGGACACACACACACACCAGGAGGACACACAGAGGACACACAGAGGACACACACCAGAGGACACACAGAGGACACACACACACAGAGGACACACAGAGGACACACAGAGGACACACAGAGGACACACACCAGGCACACACAGGACACACAGAGGACACACAGAGGACACACACACACACAGAGGACACACAGAGGACACACAGAGGACACACAGAGGCACACACACCACACACAGAGGACACACACAGAGGAACACACACACAGAGGACACACACACACACAGAGGACACACAGAGGACACACACACACACAGAGGACACACAGAGGACACACAGAGGACACACAGAGGACACACAGAGGACACACAGAGGACACACAGAGGACACACAGAGGACACACAGGACACACAGAGGACACACAGAGGACACACACCAGGACACAGGACACACAGAGGACACACAGAGGACACACACACACACAGAGGACACACAGAGGACACACAGGACACACAGAGGACACACACCAGGACACACAGAGGACACACAGAGGACACACAGAGGACACACAGAGGACAACACACCAGGGGACACACAGAGGACACACACCAGAGGACACACAGAGGACACACAGAGGACACACACCAGGACACACACAGAGGACACACAGAGGAACACACAGGGCACACACAGGACACACAGAGGACACACACACACAGGGACACACACACAGAGGACACACAGGACACACAGAGGACACACAGAGGACACACAGAGGACACACAGAGGACACACAGAGGACACACAGAGGACACACAGAGGACACACAGAGGACACACAGAGGACACACAGAGGACACACAGAGGACACACAGAGGACACACAGAGGACACACACCAGGGCACACAGAGGACACACACGGAGGACACACAGAGGACACACAGAGGACACACACCAGGACACACAGAGGACACACACACCAGGACACACACAAGAGGACACACAGAGGACACACACCAGGCACACAGAGGACACCAGGACACACAGAGGGACACACACCAGGACACACAGAGGACACACAGAGGACACACAGAGGACACACACAGGACACACAGAGGACACAGAGGACACACACCAGGACACACAGAGGACACACACCAGAGGACACACAGAGGACACACACACACCAGGACACACAGAGGACACACAGAGGACACACAGAGGGACACACACACAGAGGACACACAGAGGACACACAGAGGACACACAGAGGACACACACCAGGCCACACAGAGGACACACAGAGGACACACACAGGACACACAGAGGACACACAGAGGACACACAGAGGACACACACCAGGACACACAGAGGACACACAGAGGACACACAGAGGACACACACCAGGACACACAGAGGACACACAGAGGACACACAGAGGACACACACACACACAGAGGACACACAGAGGACACACACACACAGAGGACACACACACACAGGACACACAGAGGACACACAGAGGACACACAGAGGACACACAGAGGCACACAGAGGACACACAGAGGACACACAGAGGACACACAGAGGACACACACACACACACAGAGGCACACACACACAGGACACACAGAGGACACACAGAGGACACACACCACACCAGAGGACACACAGAGGACACACACAGGACACACACCAGAGGACACACCAGGACACACAGAGGACACACAGAGGACACACAGAGGACACACACCAGAGGACACACAGAGGACACACACACCAGGACACACAGAGGACACACAGAGGACACAGGACACACAGAGGACACACACCAGGACACACAGAGGACAGAGGACACACAGGCACACACACACAGAGGACACACACCAGGACACACACCAGGACACACAGAGGACACACACCAGGGCACACAGAGGACACACACCAGGACACACAGAGGACACACAGAGGACACACAGAGGACACACACAGGACACACACACCAGGACACACACACAGAGGACACACAGAGGACACACAGAGGACACACACCAGGACACACAGAGGACACACAGGACACACAGAGGACACACACCAGGACACACAGAGGACACACACCAGGACACACAGAGGACACACACCAGGACACACAGAGGACACACAGAGGACACACAGAGGACACACACAGGACACACAGAGGACACACAGAGGACACACACACAGAGGACACACAGAGGACACACACACACCAGGACACAGAGGACACACAGAGGACACACAGGGACACACAGACACACAGAGGACACACACCAGGACACACAGAGGACACACAGAGGAGGACACACAGAGGACACACACAGGACAGGACACACAGAGGACACACACCACACACAGAGGACACACAGAGGACACACAGAGGACACACACCAGGACACACAGAGGACACACACACACCAGGACACACAGAGGACACACAGAGGACACACAGAGGACACACACACCAGAGGACACACACAGGACACACACAGGACAGACACACAGAGGACACACAGAGACACACAGAGGACACACAGAGGACACCACACCAGGACACAGAGGACAACAGAGGACACACCCACCAGGACACAGGACACACAGAGGACACACAGAGGACACACACCAGGACACACACACCAGGACACACAGAGGACACACAGTGGACACACACCAGGACACACAGAGGGACACACAGAGGACACACACACACCAGAGGCACACAGAGGACACACAGAGGGACACACACCAGGGCACACAGAGGACACACAGAGGACACACAGAGGACACAGAGGACACACACCACACACAGAGGACACACAGTGGACACACACCAGGACACACAGAGGACACACAGAGGACACACAGAGGACACACACCAGGACACACAGTGGACACACACCAGGACACACAGAGGACACACAGAGGACACACAGAGGACACACAGAGGACACACACCAGGACACACAGTGGACACACACCAGGACACACAGAGGACACACAGAGGACACACACCAGGGACACACAGGGACACACAGAGGCACACAGAGGACACACAGAGGACACACAGAGGACACACACAGGACACACAGGACACACACAGACACACAGACACACAGAGGACACACAGAGGACACACACCAGGGACACACAGAGGACACACCAGGACACACACCAGGACACACAGAGGACACACAGAGGACACACAGAGGACACACAGAGGACACACACACACACACCAGGACACACAGAGGACACACAGAGGACACACACCAGGACACACAGAGGACACACAGAGGACACACAGAGGACACACAGAGGACACACACCAGGACACACAGAGGACACACAGAGGACACACACCAGAGGACACACACCAGGACACACAGAGGACACACAGAGGACACACAGAGGACACACACCAGGACACACACCAGGACACACAGAGGACACACACCAGGACACACAGAGGACACACACCAGGGCACACAGAGGACACACAGAGGACACACAGAGGACACACACCAGGACACACAGAGGACACACAGAGGACACACACCAGGACACACACCAGGACACACAGAGGACACACAGAGGACACACACCAGGGACACACAGAGGACACACACCAGGACACACAGAGGACACACAGAGGACACACAGAGGACACACACCAGGACACACAGAGGACACACAGAGGACACACACTAGGACACACAGAGGACACACAGAGGACACACAGAGGACACACACCAGGACACACAGAGGACACACAGAGGACACACACCAGGACACACAGAGGACACACACCAGGGCACACAGAGGACACACAGAGGACACACAGAGGACACATATCAGGGCACACAGAGGACACACAGAGGACACACACCAGGACACACACACACAGAGGACACACAGAGGACACACACCAGGCACACAGAACACACAGAGGACACACACACACAGAGGACACACAGAGGACACACACCAGGACACACAGGGACACACACACACAGAGGACACACACCAGGACACACAGAGGACACACAGAGGACACACAGAGGAACACACCAGGACACACACAGAGGACACACACCAGGACACACACACAGAGGACACACACCAGGACACACAGGAGGGCACACAGGCACACACACAGAGGACACACAGAGGACACACAGAGGACACACACCAGGGCACACAGAGGACACACAGAGGACACACACCAGGACACACAGAGGACACACACCAGGACACACAGAGGACACACACCAGGACACACAGAGGACACACACCAGGACACACAGAGGACACACAGAGGACACACACCAGGACACACAGAGGACACACACCAGGACACACAGAGGACACACAGAGGACACACACCAGGACACACACCAGGACACACAGAGGACACACAGAGGACACACAGAGGACACACACAGGACACACAGAGACACACACCAGGACACACAGAGGACACACACACACACAGAGGACACACACAGGACACACAGAGGACACACAGAGGACACACAGAGGACACACACACACAGGACACAGGACACACAGAGGACACACACACACCAGGACACACAGAGGACACACACCAGGACACACAGAGGACACACAGAGGACACACACCAGGGCACACAGAGGACACACAGAGGACACACACCAGGGCACACAGAGGACACACAGAGGACACACAGAGGACACACAGAGGACACACACCAGGACACACAGTGGACACACACCAGGACACACAGAGGACACACAGAGGACACACACCAGGACACACAGTGGACACACACCAGGACACACAGAGGACACACAGAGGACACACAGAGGACACACAGAGGACACACACCAGGACACACAGTGGACACACACCAGGACACACAGAGGACACACAGAGGACACACACCAGGGCACACAGAGGACACACAGAGGACACAGAGGGACACACAGAGGACACACACCAGGACACACAGTGGACACACACACCAGGACACACACAGACACACAGAGACACACAGAGGACACACACACCAGAGGCACACAGAGGACACACCAGAGGACACACAGAGGACACACAGAGGACACACACACACAGAGGACACACAGAGGACACACAGAGGACACACAGAGACACACACCAGGACACACAGAGGACACACAGAGGACACACAGACCAGGGACACACACCAGGACACACAGAGGGACACACACACCAGGGCACACAGAGGACACACACCAGGCACACAGAGGACACACAGAGGACACAGAGACACACAGGACACACACACAGGACACACAGAGGACACACAGAGGACACACACCAGGACACACACACGAGGACACACAGAGGACACACAGAGGACACACACCAGGACACACAGAGGACACACACACAGAGGCACACAGAGGACACACACCAGGGCACACAGAGGACACACAGAGGACACACAGAGGACACACACCAGGACACAGAGGACACACAGAGGACACACACCAGGACACACAGGACACACAGAGGACACACACAGAGGCACACACACAGGACACACAGAGGACACACACCAGGGCACACAGAGGACACACACACAGGACACACAGAGGACACACAGAGGACACACAGAGGACACACACACACCAGGACACACAGAGGACACACACCACACACAGAGGACACACAGAGGACACACACCAGGACACACAGAGGACACACACCAGGACACACAGAGGCACACAGACACACAGAGGACACACAGAGGACACACAGAGGACACATATCAGGGCACACAGAGGACACACAGAGGACACACACCAGGACACACACCAGGACACACAGAGGACACACACCAGGGCACACAGAGGACACACAGAGGACACACACCAGGACACACAGAGGACACACACCAGGACACACAGAGGCACACAGGACACACAGGACACACAGGACACACAGAGGACACACAGAGGACACACACCAGGACACACAGAGGACACACACAGGACACCAGGACACACAGAGGACACACAGAGGACACACACACACACCAGGACACACAGAGGACACACAGAGGAGGACACACAGAGGACACACACCAGGACACACAGAGGACACACACCAGGACACACAGAGGACACACACCAGGACACACAGAGGACACACACCAGGACACACAGAGGACACACACCAGGACACACAGAGGACACACACAGGACACACAGAGGACACACACCAGGACACACAGAGGACACACAGAGGACACACACCAGGACACACAGAGGACACACACCAGGACACACAGAGGACACACACCAGGACACACAGAGGACACACAGAGGACACACACCAGGACACACACCAGGACACACAGAGGACACACAGAGGACACACACCAGGACACCATGGTGAGGGCGGGCACCTCACTGTGTGTCTGTGTGTCAGGTGCAGGAGATCCTGGTGGCTCTCGGGTGTGTGTGTATGTCACGTGTCGTGTGTGTATGTGTCGTGTGTGTATGTGTCACGTGTGTATGTGTCATGTGTGTATGTGTCTGTGTGTCAGGTGCAGGAGATCCTGGTGGCTCTCGGGCTCTTGGACTGCGCTCACACTCGGACGTCGCACCTGTCGGGGGGTCAGAGGAAAAGACTCGCCATCGGCCTGGAGCTCGTCAACAACCCGCCCGTCATGTTCTTCGACGAGCCCACCAGGTCTGAGACCGAGACCAGGTCTGAGACCGAGACCAGGTCTGAGACCGAGACCAGGTCTGAGACCGGGACCTGGACTGAGACCGGGACCTGGACTGAGACCGGGACCTGGACTGAGACCGGGACTGAGACCAGGTCTGACACTAGACCAGGTCTGAGACTAGACCAAGACCAGGACTGAGACCAGACCGAGACCGGGACTGAGACTGAGACCGGGACTGAGACCAGGTCTGAGACTAGACTGAGACCGGGACTGAGACTGAGACCTGGACTGAGACCGGGACTGAGACCGAGACCAGGTCTGACACTAGACCGGGACCAGGTCTGACACTAGACCGGGACTGGGTCT